CTTGACTGATCACCAAGAGTAAACAATTTATTAGAATTATTGTGCTGACTCTGAGATTATATCGCTGGACGAATAATTCAAAGGTTGGTTTTAATAATTTTAATTAATGCAATCACTTGCTTTGGTGTGGAAATAAGTATACCTTATTTTCCACCCACTACAATCTTACAGATGAAACACCTGCAATAGGAGCACATACCTAAAAATGACATCATTTGCTTTTTTGTGGAGGGTTTAGGTATGGAAATAATAGCTTGAATGCGTTTTGGAGAAAGAGTTTTCCCCTGACCAGAGAGAATGTGTCCTAAGAAAGTGACCTCCTGTTTTGCAAATTGGAGTTTTGAGAGGCTGGCTTTGTGTCCCTCAGCAGCTCGATGTTTCAGGAGTTTCACAGTGTCAGTTACACACTGTTCACGTGTGGGTGCTGCTATTAATAGATCATCAACATACTGTAGAAGGACTGAGCCTTGTGTGAGTGTGAGTGTAGAGAGACTTTCACACAGGGCCTGATTGTAGATAGTGGGAGACTCACAATAACCTTGACACAGCCGAGTGAAAGTGTAGGGCTTGCCATCAAACTCAAAGGCGAACCAGAATTGGCTATCTGGATGAATAGGCACGCTGAAAAATGCATTTGAGAGCTCGATTACCGAAAACCACTGAGCTCCTGGAGGAATATGAGCTAGGATGGTGTAAGGATTTGGGCCAGGTGGAGCTCTGGCGTAAACAGCAGTGTTGACGGCTCTGAGATCCTGGACAAATCTCCAGTCATCTGGTGGTTTGTCCCGGATTTTCTTCACTGGAAACACTGGAGTTCGCACGGGAGAGTCAGGACAGGGAACAATTACACCTGCAGCAAGAAGAGAATCAAACACAGGTTTAATGCCCTGTATGGCTTCAGGTTTGAGTGGATATTGTGGTTGGTTTGGCCTAAAACTTGACTTTGCCCTGACGATCACTGGCTGTGCAGATTTTATTAGTCCCACATCATACTTGTGTGCAGCCCAAAGAGTGTGTGGAATGTCAGTTAGCTCAGGAGGAACTGAAACAGTGTCAGACAGACAGGTGAGCGTGTGAGAGTCAAGCAGAGTCATCATTGCAGAGGGACTCTCAAGCTGGTACACAGACCGCAAAACAGAAAATGTCTGTGTGTGTTTGGTTTTGTGTGTGTTCAGAGAGGGAGAGAAAAATACAGCAGAGTCATCAGTAGGTTGCCAGTCAGTGGCCTGAACACATTGGAGTGTGAAAGGCCCTAAATCTTCCCACTGGTCAGTCAGATCTTTACAAAGAGAAATGTGTGGAAGGTCATGAGTGTGTGTGTGTGTGTGTGTTGTGGTGAGTGTATTGTCAGCGCTTCACTTATCTGGTGCTGCAGGATGTCGGGCTGTCTTCTCCACACGTTGCATCACCTCCCCCTCGTCTCAATCAGACTGTCCCGGTCGGTTCTGGTTGTCTCTCACTCCGGGCATCCTTCGGTCTGTGAGGTAGGGGCAATCCTTGGCCCAGTGACCCAGTTCATTACACAGGAAACAGCGGTCAATGTTGAAACGAGGATCAGGCATCAATAGTCTAAACACATGGGATGCACAACTTCTTCTTCCCATGTACGATTACTAATCTTTTACCTAGATGTTATGAGAACACATTTTTGGGCCTGTAACCTTTCCATTCAGCTTTAATGAAACTTAGAGAAACTTGCTTTGACATTCTTCATGCAGATGCATTATTTTTCCATTACACAACCCTACATCTGAGCAACGTTTACACCAAGAGTCAGAGATATTGATAAGGAAATTAAGGTTTAGTTTGTGCAGACTACTTAGAGCTTTGAATTGCGTTTTAATGCTCATTTTCTTTCTTGGTCTCGGACAGTTTAACCCTGCAGGGCTGCAGCCAAAGCAATAAAACTGTCTTGTAGCCAGAAGAAAAGATCCAAGTCAAGGAAAGGAATCGAGGATTTGCAAACTCAGAAACGGGATGAGGAGCCATAGATGTGTATTTTCGATTTTGTGCTGGGTTGTTGCAAATTTCTTATGAATAGACAGAAAGAAAAAACACAATAAAACCACTGATTAAAAATACTCTGTCTGTGAAGTTAATCAGTGCGCAAAAAAAGATTTTTCTTCAATCTGTAATCGCACCATCCACTTCTGTGATCTTCCTTTTTCTGGCTCTGCCCTGGACAGAGTAGAACTTCCCTCTGTTTGCAACAACCATCTTTTCCACCTTCTCCAACAAACCCACGCCCTGCTGGATGTTGTTGGGGTCGATGTTCAGGATGTAGCATCTTTCTACGACTCTCTGGGGCAGGATCTCCTTCAGCTCGGCATCAGGGATAAGCTTCCCAAACTGAATGTCTTTCTCTGTCTGGTCATAGCGGGTGAAAAGGACGATGGTATGCCACCAGACGTTCTTTCCAAAGATCTCCTCCATCTGCCTCATGGTGTCTTGTTTTTCATCGAGGGGGGTCTCCAACTTGATGACCAGCAGGAAGGCGTGAGGCCCCGGGGCCAACATGTCGACGCATCTCCTGATCTCTGTCTTTGCTTCAGGTGTTTCTGAGAGTCCAGGAGTGTCTACAACTGTCACCTCACAGTCAAACACCTTCTTCATCTGCAGACAGCACTGAGCATTCCCTGAGGAGAGGAAACACAGTTTTCATGCACGTTTTTAAATGGTAAATGGTCTGTACTTGCATAGTTCCTTCTAACTCAGTGGTGCTCAAAGTGCATTCACACATCAAAGGCAACAGAACTCCATGCAAGGTGCTGCCTGCCATCGGGAGCATCTTGGTATCAAGAGGAGCAAGTTGTTGGAAGATACTGTATATAGATATAGATACTGTAACGGTGGACAGTGTGGATCTGCACCAAGGAACAGGAGTTGAAGATGGGGTAATGGCTGCCTTCTGTGCCTATTTTGTTTTCAACCTGGCTTACCCAACCTACATGAAGAAGACGCTGACCTTTTCCCAACGCACCACACTGAACATTGCTTCTGTGGGTGACAAGGCCCTTCCAGTCACTGTCACACAAATGATAAATCTTCTCTTGTAGACATGCCTCGAACATATAGATGTCCCAGGTGTAGAAGAACCACCTTCACCTTAATGAAACTGATTCAGCGTGTTGGTCTCATCCATGCACATGAATCTAACTTTAGTATGACCTGTGGACTAAATAACTGTAAATCATCCTTTACAGTATATGAGTCCTACAGGTGTCATGTGTATCGTAAGCACAAGGAACACGTGCTACCTGAGAACAACAGCAGTGACAACGATCTAAACACCAAAAATGAACTAAACACTGAAAATGACACTCATCTGAACAACGGAAGTGACAGTGATCTAAGTGATGGACATAACTCAGACACTGATTTACAGCCTCAGCCAGATGTACCTCCTCATATGAATGAACTACTTAAAGGCTTTAAAGAAAATCTTTGTAGCTTCATTTTGAAATGTAGGGAAAAAAATAACATTACACAGACTGCCCAGCAAGAAATTTTGAATGACATAGATTTTGTGTTTTGTTATTTTAAAGAAAATGACGATGCTTGTATCACACACCATCTTAAAGAAAATGGGTTTAATGTTTTGGAGTGTCCTGAACTAAACGAGGTGAGACAATCTCATGACTTCTTTGAAAAAGCGTCCGCAGCTGTCAGATCTGATCTGTATTGATTGTTTCATTGAAAATGATATTGTATCGATTCTACGTTTTATTGAAAATTGTATTGTATCGATTGTTATCGATGTTTTACTGATGTTTCAGATAAATAAATTGAACTAGAAAATTTCCTTGCAGAAAATTTGAGAGTGGCACGGGAGTGTGCCGGGATTTAAATGGTGATATTATAATTACCAAACCTACTAAAGACTTTGAATAAACGAAGCATCATCTGTGTGGAGAGAGCAGAGGGGGAGGGGGGAGTAGGGTCAGAGCGTTGCCGGGCGACGAAGCACACAGCTGCAACAGATACTTGGTTTAACTGTCAAATCAGTCAAAGGAAGCAGAAGGAGAAGACCTCAAACAACCACCATTTTTGTCAAAACCGTGTGTCGGAGAGAAAAGCCGAGCACATTCTCAGAAAGCCAAGACATTGGGCATTACAGAGATGTACTTTTTGTTTTCCTGGAGTGAAAAATGAGCGCACAATCATTTGAGAAGAAATGTGTAAATTTGTGGTCACACAGAGAATCCGCAGCCGTCTTTGAATGGGGGCAGATGGGGAAGGAAGAGAGACTTTTAGAGGAACAAGGCTCCAAAACTCCCCCAAACTTAATTCTGTGGGCTTCCAAAGTGACATTGTGAGCAGGAGGACAAATTTTCCTACATTTTGATGTAAAAATTATGTCTGTGGCATAAAAATTGTGGCCAGGGCGACAAGTTAAAAAAAGATTTACTGTGTGATTTTTCTCTGAGCTCCCACTCTAGTGATGTCATCACTCACTCTAAAGGACCACATACACACCCATTGTAAAGGCTGAAAAGGGCTGAAAAAGTTTCAAAACTTGAGAGGTTGTCACGAAGAAACGATTGAAGATATGAAAAAAGTAGAAACACTTTGAAATAGGGGAAGGCCGCGTCAACATTTTAAAGTTTAAATGGAGTCTGTAGGTGAAAGCATGGCTGAGCAGTGGAGGTTTGAAAAGTAGTGTAATTTTGTGCGATTTTTTCGTCCGTCCCATTCATTTTCAATGGGTGGTTTTTGCGACGTTTTTGCGAATTGTGTCGCGAAAAATGCGACTTTTGTAAATCTGTATGTAAGCACACGATTCCCGATCGAGCCGCACGTTTTGATGTATAATTTGTGTGGGTGTGTGTGTAATAATAATAAGAAAAACCGTACAGAATAACAATAGTGGCACGGGCTGAGCTCGAGGCCCTACTTGAAATCTGTACCCTCTGGAGAACAGATTTGTACCATTTACAAGGGTACATTTTAGTCCCTGGAGTGTTAAAGTCCATTTTTGTACCCCAGGGTGCATAAATGTCCCTGTGAGGTACTAACAGGAAGGGTACAAAAATGTTTCCATGTTAATGGGTACAATAGGTGTACCTTTGAGGGTACTGCCCCAGTGACAAGCTGTTGGACTCTTAAAGGTACAAATTTTACACATTATTACTGAGAGTATATATGCTTTACACAGCGAGGTACAGGTGTCTACTGGGGCTGATGAACTTTAATAGTAATCAGTGAGCGATCACAGCTCCAGTGGTTCAGACCACGTTCATGTAGTTTCTTTCATGGAGCCCGACTGTGTCTGACTTTTACAATGAGAAGGTTCTTATTTCCAGATATTTTGTCAAGACCAAAAAGAAAAGTACAGCAGAAATCTCACTTTTACAGACTAAGTTGTCAAATAGTTTTTTTCCCTGGTCAGTCGGTAAGGGGTCCTGAAAAGTCATGCCTATGAAACATCTGTCTCAGAAACGCTCGTATCACCAGCTAAAAGGATCACCAGTTAATGGAACATGCAGATTCAGATTCATCCTGTGTTACCTGAGGATGGACTGGCAGCAGCACCACCAGCACTGAAGGCATCTTTTCTCAGTATGATGTTTCCACTGGAGCTCTTTCCTGATCCAGTCCTCCCAACAAGAACCAGTCTGAGGTCTGGCACTGGAACACAGAGAGACACGATTGTCCAATCGGCTGTTTGAAGCTACAGATGTTAAAGGATCATTGAAGTTCATTGCCATCGGCTCTATTTCCTATTTCCTGTCATTCCACTTTTCAACTCTGTTGTAAAAATTCAGAGAAATAAGGAAAAAAATGTATATCGAGGTAAGCCCTGAAAGGACAAAAAATCTGTTCAGAATGACTCCAAAGATCCCTACATGACTGAAACCTCATCAAAAATGACTGAAAGAATCTTTTACTCACAATTCATCCAATATGACTTTAAAACTTTCTAAATTAAAAAAAACTAGACAATTTTCTTGGATGCACATAGGAGCAAACCTGAAGCACATTTGCGTTTGAGGAGGACTTTGTTAGCTAAAGGAGACATAATAATGAAGAACTGCATACACCAAAAATACAGTTTAAATCATCAGTGTGGGAGGATTTTTAAATGTTTTTTCTTAGAACTACACCATCAACATCTGTGATCTTACCCTGGATGACTCCGTACTCAATAGAGTATACCTTCCTCCTATTTTCAGCAGCCACCTTGTCCAGCAGATCCCAGACCTGCTGTTTGTTGTTGAGGACGTAGTATCTGTCTTCCACACGACAGGGCAGAATCTTCTTCAGCTCAGTTTTGGTTCTATCCAGAATCTGAACATCTGTCTCCGGCTGGTCGTCGTGGGTGAGGACTATGATGGTGTGCCTCCAGACGTTCTTTCCAAAGATCTCCTCCATCTGCCTCACGGTGTCTTGTTCTTCATCGGTGAGGGTTCCCACCTTGATGACCAGCAGGAAGGCGTGGGGCTCCGGGGCCAACATGTCGATGCATTTTAAGATTTCCGTCTGTCTTTCCATTGTTTCTGAGAGTCCAGGAGTGTCGACGATGGTCACCTCCCAGTTGAACACCTTATTCGTCTGCAGACAGCACTGAGTGTTCTCTGAGGAGAAGAAACACAGTTTTTGTGAAGCATTAAATATAATATTCTTTATCCCTCTGAAGTCCAAGAAGTTTCTGGTGTTTTTTTGTTTGTTTGTTTTTTGTTTCTCACACATTCTGTCTCCCTGTGGGTTCATTTATCACTGCAATATAAAATCCTGCACCTATTCGGACTCAGAAATGTCTTCTGTGCAGAATGACACAGTCAGAATGCTAAAAATCATAAATAATACAACTTCAAACTTAAACTTCTATGAAATGTGGAGTCAACAACATTTTTCCAAGCACACAAAGGTGTTATCAATACTGGAAAAAAGGTGGCTCCACATGGAGTAAACATCCAGTGTTACCTGCAGCAGCACCACCAGCACTGAAGGCGTCTGTTCCCAGTATGATGTTCCCACTGGAGCTCTTCCCTGATCCAGTCCTCCCAACAAGAACCAGTCTGAGGTCTGGCACCAGAACACACAGAAAAAACCCCCATCAAATCTGGTAGTAAAAACTGCTCTGTTTCTTAGTCTTTCTTCCATTAATGCCAACTTTGCACACTTCCCCTCTGCTGTAGGGACTGAAAGAAATGAGGACAAAACTGTGTATGCTGAGGTGAACTCCAACATCCATCCATCCATTTTCTATACACCGCTTAATCCTCATTAGGGTCACGGGGGGGCTGGAGTCTATCCCAGCTGACTCAGGGTGAAGGCAGGGGACACCCTGGACAGGTCGCCAGTCCATCGCAGGGCCACACTTAGAGACAGACAACCAAGCACACTCACATTCACACCTACGGACAATTTACAATCACCAATTAACCTCAACATGTTTTTGGACTGTGTGGGAGGAAGCCGGAGAACCCGGAGAGAACCCACGCTGCACGGGGAGAACATGCAAACTCCACGCAGAAAGATTCCGGTGTCCCCACCAGGACACGAACCGGCGACCTTCTTGCTGCGAGGCAACAGTGCTACCAACTGCACCACCCTGCAGCCCGTGAACTCCAACATGACTTAAAATTTTGTCCAAAATAATTAAGGTGTCTGTTTTTTCCAAAATAATCCAAAGCTTGTCCAACATGGCTAAAAATGTGCCCAAAATGTATCAAAAATTATGAACAAAAAAAGTTTTAAAAAATGACTTAAAACTTTTACTGAATGACTAAAAACTGAAAAAAAAAAAAAAGAAAGAAAAAAAGAAACTTAAAAACGCTGGCAATCATGAAGTCAGTACGACTCAGTGAGTTGCAGCTGTAACACCTGTGAAACGCTGCTCTAGTGAACACTCCTCCTCCAGTGGGGAGTCACAGTCCGGCCACAAAAGTTTAACCTGGTTTTTAGCTTCCTCGAAACTATCGAAAATCCCAAATGCTGGTTTGCCTTGAGGGCAGAACTTGAGGTTCTTTCTCAGCTGATCAGCATCAAACATCAGCGTCTGAAAAAGAAAAAGAACAGAAAAAAAAACAAGCAACAATTTTCATGTTTATAAAATATGACCAATGGAAATTGTTCGCACAAGTGAAGGTGAAACGAAGAGTCGATGTACAGAAAACTTAACACAAAGATACCGAACAGTTCATGATTTCAGTCGCTCAAATGAACTTTTCTTTTCGATGATTCCAACGCCTTCTGATGTAATTGGACAAAACGGATGTTGCACATAAAAGGGACATTTTTCAAAACACAGACATTTTTTCATAAAAGCTTTTTTGAAAACTGAGGATGTGTTTTTGAAACATTAAACATTAAAGGCTTCAGTTGATTGTAGAGAATAAGCAGTGAAAATACCTGTTTGTCCACATGCAGGGCGACGGCGACGTTATCCCAAATATAAAACTGTGGGAAACTATCCTTCTGAGCTTCCATCTGGTTTATTTCAGGTCTTTCCACCAGCTCATACCTGACAGGAAAGCCAAATAGCAACAACAACAGTATAATCAACTACACAAATCAGGTGAAGACATTTTCACACAGTCGGTAGATCCTCCTTCTATTGGTGTTCTGGTTTTGGCTCTTTTGGTTCAGCTCATTACATTTATCTGTTTGTAGGTCTTACCGGTGTGTCTCACTTATGGCGTACGGCCTCCAGATGAAGCGGCCATCTTTGTAAACACAGACGGCGTTCGGGTCGTCAGTCAGCAGAGGATACTCGGAGAAGAGCTCCTGATTGGCTGGACTGTGGACCAACACAGCGTGCTGCACTTCCTGTCTGTGCAGGACAGTTTCGTACACCCGCATGACCGGCTGATCCCCAGAACAAAACTGAAACAACAACAGATGTTTTACAGGAGGACTCTGACTTCACTGTACAAGAAGGATTCATTAATCAGAGTCTCTGTAAATGTACCAACAACAACACAGATTATCATCACTGATGGCAGATTAGCACTCATCACAGGACAGATGAGATTTTGTGTTTTTTGTAGTTATTCGTATTTATTGTAGTTATTCGTATTTATTGTAGTTATTCGTATTTATTGTAGTTATTCGTATTTATACGACCCACTTTCTCATTTTGTTGCACCTCCCACCTGGTCAAAGGCAAAACATCTGAACATTTTCTTATCGATAGACACTATGATTTACTGATGCTCCCTAAACGCCCCACATAGCAGGTTGTGATAGCTGCTGTTTGGTGGCTGTGGTGTGCTCTGACAGGTGTGTGACCAAAAATGACTTTAAAAATGATAAAATGGTCGTTCTCATACGGCCAAGTACACATACTGAGAAACGGCCTCATGTGGCGGCACCCCGCATCCAGGAAGTGTAAAATGAGTAAACATGCAGTCAAGACTAATTTTAAATCTGTTAATAATACAAATGTTGTTGGCAACAAAAATATGAATGTTATTATTATTTTGTTATAGTTAATTCAAATTTAACACTGAGAACTACTCTTTATGTGGTCATTAGCAGTGGGGCGGCGCCCCCTATTGACCAGCAGCCACTGGACTGCATCCTAGAGATGATTTCCCAGAGTTCCTACCTGCAGGCGGTAGGCCTCCAGCACCTCCTCCAGGGGGAATGTGAAGCGGTACGAGCCCAGCCTGGACTTCTCTGAGAAGGCTGGAGAGGTGGTAAACTTATAGAGGAAGCTGGGATGCATGGCAGCCTGATCCTCTGTAAGGTCGGAGAATTTCTGCTGCAGGAGCCTCTTCTCAGCTGCCTTCACCTCCTCAGGACCCACAGCCAGACTCCACCACTGCAGGATGCCTCCGTGTGGATCCCTGGAGCCGTTGTGTGGAACCCCGAAGCCTTCGTCCCTCCTGATGCCACGTAACCCCTCTTGGTCTGTGTCATGTTTCAGATGAGAAACATGGAACTCTGGCTGGGGGTATTCTGGGATGTTTTTCTTGGAGAGGTATGAGTGTCCCAGAGGAACTTTCTGTTTCAAATCATTCAGGCTTAAGTGCTGACCGTTGACATAATTTTCATCACGTCCTCTCATGTTTATCCGTTTCTCCATGGTCTCTGCTGTGAGGAACATGTACTGACACTCTGCTGCTTCTCAGAGGAATCTTATCTTCTCTCTACAAACCCGAATGTAATTCAAAACACACCCAGTGGCGTCAGTTCAAGCACCTCCCCTCATCCAAAACCACCAGTCCCACCCCAATGAAGTTACACAAACTCAAAAACAGAGGGAGAAACATCATAAGTTTAAAAAAAAGTACTTTGTAACCTCACTCCTATTTATTTATTTTTTAGTGTTCTGGATGTCTTTCATTTGTATCGTATTACATTAAAGTATATTCAACATAATGTATTTTATTTATAAGACAAATGGCCCCACTTTTACTGCAGTTTGTCCACCCAGAGTCTGACATAAGGGGTTGTTTCTGGAAAGTGAAACTTAATGTGACACACACAACAGATCCTATTACATTTGTGCACAAAGTGTGGCTCTTCTGAGAACATGGGGCTCAAACACCTTAATACCATGAAGATGTTGCTGACTTCACATT